CTAGCATAGGCTAGTAATTCTCCGGTTAGTTTGAGCTGACAAAAACTGTGTTCGTAACGTCAGCTTGCAGCAGCTTCGGTAAAAAACTGAGTAGTACGTTGTTCATTTGCTGTTGCTTTGACGCTTGATGGACTTGAAGCTCCTTTTAGGTGTTTTTCAGTCGTCGTAGCAAAAGTTAACAGCAAGTGAGCCAGATGGTGGTTTCGAAATCTTGAGGCCATATTCTTTGAAATAGAGATCTGATGAGTGATTTGTCTGCAGGTTGTCCCACCTGGTGGGGAAGATTCTCAAAATAGTAGCTCGTTTCTAGTTCACCTGTTTTGCTCTGCGCCGCGTGTTTCGATGTAAAATGCCGCTGAAGCTGATTATTCTCTGCTTGTCTAGAAACCAACGAACCCAAATTTTATTCAAAATCAAGTGTAAGTCCTCGCACATACATTGATGGCGCACGAGTTCGGTACTATCTCTTGTGCTCTTCCAGCACAACTTTCCAACGGCAGGTATGCAAATGTTAGGTAGTGTGTACTGCGCTATTCTAAGGGCAACCGAGTGAAAAACAGTCATATTGTTGTTACAAGCTCCAGTGAAACGGAAATGTTTACCATGAATGATAAGTTGTCAAGCCCAACGCGGATGAGATACTGCAGAGAAGAGGAGATGATATGTTTTGTGTATCGAAAGCAGCATACCAGATCATACAAAAAGTGCTGGAAACGACCTTACTTTGCAAGGAACCAGAAACGAACTACAAGCCTCTTTAATCCAAATGGATTTCAAGAAATTGGCCAGTTAGAGAGATTTAAAGTACAATATGGGTATCGATAGGACGAATATAAAAAAATAGATCGCCATTTATATAGATAAATGGATAGGCAGATAGATAGGTAGGTGAATGTATGAATCAATAAGACCAAATATCAACTGTTGCGCCAGCTCAGCTTCTGATTCGCGTTCGAAGCAGTTTGTGTGAGAACAGCTCACAAGGATCAGAGTTGCGAGTGTTGAATTTAACTGGGAACTGGCACCGGCGTGACGTTAAAATCAGCAAATATTTACCGAGTTTGAGTGATGAACCACGAGGTCTTTTCAACGGTGCGGTGCGTAGGTATGATGCGGCTTCAGGCGACTGGGGTTATGAAAACGATTTGGAGTGTGATAATTTTAGTCACTTTAAAGTAAATTGGTGTTCCTTACAAGACTGCCACAGTGTCAAATTCTGGATAAAAGGTACCGTTCAACCACATGGCTAGCTCCTTACCAATAACGACCACTAAATCCCAACTAAACTGTATCATTAAAACACGGTACTGTGTCACGTCATGTACCCAGTCACCCTTAGACCCCTATCATATGCCACTGGTGTTTCTTTTCTACACTTCGTTTATCAGTAATGCATCCAAATTTTCCGGGCAATGCGGCTTTTCCACCCGGATTTCGTCCTGTTTTCCGGTTCAAAACTCCTAAATCTCCTCATATTTCCAATGTGAATACGAGGATAAATAATTTCACGCGGCGAATGAACCCCCTTCTGGGAATTCACCACTCATGAAGTCAAGCAGTACGCGACTACGTGAAGTGAATTGCATGATTGAGGGTTTAGTGGTGCTATAGCCTGCGTACGTGTGACCAGTAGCTGACCGCCGAACAGATTGGTCCTCAACTAGCTAGTTGGAAAAGCTGTCCGATGCTTCTCGGTTTTTCGGCATGCAGGAACTTTACGTACAGAACGAAGCATCGATTAAAGAATTCCCCAGCCCCCTCACACTGTGTGAGTACCATGCGCCAACCAGAGTGTATCACACAAGTCGGGCTGTACTTCATCAAACTTACGGAAATGTATGTACGAACGACTGCAATACCAGCAACTAAAACGTCGGGGGCAATGTGAACGAAATGCTAAAGCCGCAGTCCTAAAAAACGTTACATATAGTAAAATGAACTTGTGATGCAAGTTTCTCAACAGTTTCGCCCGCATAAAAAGCTATCCATAATCTAAAATAACCGTCTTAACTGCGTAGCGCATTGCGAATCTTTCCTCCCCATTTTTCAACCACACAACCCTTCCCAGAAAATAAACTGGCAGCCATTGACTAAGCAACTTGATTGCTCTTACGCCACCTTGCCACTCAGTTCGTTTATATGTGCATAACCACGTAGCTGATAAGTGCAGTGTTACACCAGATTGCTGTTCACAGAGACAATTGGGCGATGTTTAACCACAGTGCATCCAGGGCAATAGTCTCACTTAGAGAGGTTTTTATGGTTGAAATTTTATTTGACGAATGCCTTGAGAGAAACTGATATGAGTGACCGAAATCAGAATAAGTCCGCGTTGGGCCCGGTTGTAATTAAATGGACAATTATCTTACTCAAACACTATAAGACGTTCTCAGACAATTTTCGACGCTTCTGTGCTTCGAAACTCCCGCACACACACTCTCAAAGGGCGCGGATTACTATAAGATGAAATTCTCTGCTATGCGTTTCGAAATGACATACTGCGCACCGTACATACCTATGAGATCATAAAATTTTCCCCTCATCTGGCAAAACGCAATCTTCGTCTGGCTGTGGTTATCCGGTCACTTCTCAGCGAATGAGCAACAATGTAGGGAATTTCATAGGTCTATTATGTGACGTCAGTGCTTCGAACTTACCTCCAGCCTGATTGGATAAAGAGGAAAGTCGGTTTGTGACATTTCGTAACTATGAGCCACTTTTCATAACCTGTCGGCCACAATATCCCTAAAAATAGCTATATAAAAACACCGTTGTGAATCGAACAGCTCTCACAGTGACATGTTACATTTCGCCGCCATCCAAACCGCCCGTTTTACTAGGACAGAACAACCAATCAGCTGATGGTGACCCCTGACATCTAGCTACATTGTCTAACTGATTACTATACATTTGCCTATTAGCAACCCATGGTAGGTACTCACATACGCTGTTCGGTAAATGTAAGCTTCGTTCTGTCGAGGGCACGTGTACTGAGCAGCAGGGATAAGGAAGTTGCTCAAAGTGATGACAACTGACAGGCACAAGTTCCCTCTGAACGAGTTACTAATGTCACTAGATTACAAGGCCTCGAACATTGGGACACCCACGCACTGATGGACTTGTTTGATTGTGCAGGTTCTCGAGCTGGGTTCATATTTGTTGATGGGACGCCCTTAAAAAAGCGGAATTCCAGGTATAATCATCATCGACGGCTCGCCGTAATCTATCTGCATGTTTTTTGTCGAGCATTAGCTCTGATCACACGGACACCAGAATGCGCGTGCTTGTTGACAATTAATCCAGCGAGACTGGGTGTTACTGACCAATAGACCGTTTGAGTTCTGAGGTATTGGGCCACTGCAAGTAACAAATGTCCCATCAGGCCTGATTCTCCATTTGCATAAGGGCTTCCGACAAGGTTTGGGGCCAACAAAGAGAAGTAACCGGTGTTTACGACTGCATGTCTGGTTACGTAGGCAAATCAGCAATTATTTGGTAGCCCAGGGGCGAGATGGCCCGTGGTTAGAGCATGAATTTACTGACCGGAAGGTTCATGGTTCGAACCCGAACTATGCCTCTCGGCTTTCCGTCTAGGTTTGGGCAATCTGGCAGTATCCCAGCCCTCGTTCTTTTTTCGGGTGGAATGGAAGCTAAACACCGAAAGGGTACCACAGCTGATTGATTATTTTACTTTTTCTAGGACTCCTGATGCATTCTAATCGGAGTGAGTACTCCCAGCTGCTAGGTTTTGGAGCATAGTTTTGATAGCATCCGTTCTGTCGGAGTGGGATTAAGAAGATGCAGAATGATTAACAGCTGACCTGAGACAGGTTTTGTCAGCATATTTATTGCAGACTGGGATTGGTCGGTCGAGAAATTGTTTTAGCTAATGATGGCATCTTGTACTAGTTACAAACGAACAACTGTCCAAGAGGGTAAAAAATCTGACGTCAAAAAGATTGTTTTCATCGCATATTAACCGAAGGAACCACGGATGCAGCTGAGAGGATGATTAAGCGAGTTGCCCTAAACAGTGCTGACAGTGAGCACACAGGTATATGGAACCTGTGATGTCGGAATCAGATTGCCGTTTTTAGGCACTTTTCGTGTTCCTATCAACTGCCACCCTCTGAAAGAGATCAATCCACATACATTGTCACACCGAGACGTGAACCTGTTAAACTCGATGACTCTGTTATCCCCTTTGGTCCTGAATATGAGCGACTCAGCGAAGGCTAAGCGTGATCCAGTTACTGCAAGCTGATAGACACAACCCATATTTAAGCATTGAAGTTGTGCTAGCGAGTGAAGTGAGAAGGGTTCCGCGTTGGTCATGTTACTGAAGTTCAGAATAACAGAGAAATGACTGGTTACACCAACATAAGGTTGGCGGAAACTCGGGGGCTGCGCCTAACTGATGAGCTCCAAGAAGGGCAAAACCGGTAGTGGACTGTCGACGAATTTTCAGCAACCTTATGACTAGTGCATTACAAATAGACTGGTTACGCTATTTTCAGTAACAAGAGGTGCGCGGATTACACAAACCAATTAAAGGTTAGACCGGCTAGCATGATGATGACATGGAGCCTGAACGCAGGAACTGCCCAATACTTTTCAAAGACTCCAAAATAACGAACAATTCAATCCATTCAAGAAATAACACAACCGTCAACGGTCTAAAACAGCGACGATTGTGGCTTCCACGGGAGGATAAAACTGCATTCACAGGACTTGTCAGCCTGCGTGAACTCATATTTGTGTCCATAGAACAGATCTGGTAAAAAGTGCTGCAATCTGCCAGCCAGTTTTGAAGCTAACGGAGCCGACAAACTATTTGACTGGAAAGAAGCGTCCAAGAGAAAATGCTTGCTGCGTAACAGTACGAGCTACGCCATCATCGCGCAACCAGCATGACATTACATGGTCACTATCTCAACCAAACAGCTGGTATGTCCCAAACCAGAGGAAAAAAGACCAGTTTCATAGAACAATCGATTCACTGGCGTTCTAAATGCAATCAGGATAGAATACATGGAAAAATAAAAACGCCTGGACCGCAACTCAGCTAACAGTGGACGTAGACAAGCTGGCAGATGTTGTTGGTGCTGCATAGTCCATTGAAACGGGCATAGCGGCAGCACCGACGGCACCGTAGTAGTAGGACGCATAGGGATCGGCAGCAGCTGGTGGAGCCCAAGCGGCATCCTTCTGGAAGTAAGACAGACCCGAGGGGGTACCCAAGCGGCACCCTGCTGAAAGTAAGACAGACCGGAGGGAGTAAACGCGTGTTTACCTCAGACGGTGGGCACACCGGGATGACAAAAAAGTTGGCCAAAAAGTATGCCAATTTAGCCAGTATCACCATCAACCGAGGTGATGGTGAAGGTGGCACTTCTACTACACGGAACACTAGCACATCAAACGGATGGCCGGTAGTTCGAGCCCATCCTTGGGCCTACCTTTTACCTCATGATATTTACATGGAAAATACATCTTAAAACTTAACAAATACTCATCTGGCTTCTAACACGGACGAAAATAATTTATACTATATATCGTAAAACAAACGTTTGACTCAGAAGAGTCGTTGTGACAGACTTGACATGAAACAAAGAAACCGGATGGTTAAAAATTACTTCAGATAAGATGAATGCCATTGGAACAATCCGTTAACAATCTGGTCCGATTAAGAAAGCTGTTGAATATCTTGTACAGGTAACGGAAGAAATGTCACTCGGACCGACGGGTTAAACACTGGTTCCCTCAACTATGCCGGCACCGCTTCACATACTAGCAAACCTAGTCCTCCACTTGCTGATGCTTGGGGTTGTCTACATTTAAAGTGAGTAGAAAAACCCAGTTTGTGGAGAGACTTGTTCCAAGAAGAGAATGCAGTCACAAAAAATACTCTTGAACAAGAATGTTGCATTTAGTTGATGAGAAGTAAACACCACACCTACCTACCTTCTAGAGCGCGAATTTACTGACCAAAAGGTCCGTGGTTTGAACCCAATCTCTGCATCTCGACTTCCCCTGTCTAGGCTTGGGCAACCTGGCAGTATCTCAGCCCTCGTGCGTCCTTTGTGTGGCATGGCAGCTAGGCACCGAAATGGTGCTACAGCTGGGCCTTCTAGAATAAAACTATCGGGGGTGACTTGGACGAAATTCAGATCTCCAGAGCACAGGACCACATCATCAGCACTGTCGAGGCCCTCAAGTGCTCTCTCAAGACACAGTCACACCAAATTCACTCATTACAGAATCGAGTAAGAATGGCGATAGTGAGTAACCATGAAAAAACACTGCTGGTGATTCGGAAGTCCATGCTGACGCTGAGTACCTCTTGTCGTCAACAAACTTGCACATGGTTCTTAAACCATGGGTAGAATGACAGGAAAACTAGGCAGAGACCATTCGTGCCTGTATGCCTGAAACTCTACGTCTCTTGGTGAAACAAAGGATTCTCGTATTCTCAAGTATATAGCAAGACTCGTATTACATATACCATCCTTCCATAAAAAGGTTGATACTACACTGTCGTTAGAGGTACTGGATACCTTGAGGTCTCAATGATCCAGAAGGTTTTCTTCATTTATACAAGCTCAGTATTGACGTGGAGAGCAGTCGTAAGTGCACATAAAGGTAGTAGATGGTTGTACAAACCAGCCAGATTATCAAACAGGTTGAAAAACCGCCGATACATGCTTTGTCATGGTAAGTCCCAGGAAAATCCGCAACATGAAAGTTTTCCCTCGCACTGATGCTCATCAGTAGGAGCGGGTGGGATCGGTCAATTGACGGTTTGGTTAGCAGTTAGAAGTCGCAGGGTCACGAGTCTACAGACCGGTGTCCAGAAGCCAGTGATTTGGGTCCGAAGGTGCGACTATTATTACATCTAGTTGTTGACTTAATCGGGTGAAGTGACCGCTCGTAAGTAGCCAGGGTGTGGACGAACGCTGTCCAGACATAAACAGCTATTAACTATAAGGGTTACATGACCCGTCTACGCCCATCTGATGAGTTCCAATAACAGAGCAGCCACTGGAAAGCGATGGTAGCTTATCCATAGTTATTCGGTCAAACCCAAACCAACAGCTCTGTAATTGTGAGCTATTCACGAATAAAAAGATTGTCCGATTATGTCGAAATCCGGTTAGAACAATGCCAGCTACACCATGATCATTACCCATCGGGGACAGCTTCAATGTTTTTCAGTCCGAACGCTCTGCTACCACGAGTTAGACAAGAGCCGCGTTTGAGTACAGCATACTTTGTATAATTCGAGGGATCCAATGAACCTCAGCGGAACGTTGGCGCGTCCAGCTAAGGGGGGGGGTGAAAATCTAAATACTATGATATTTAGTCCAGGAGCAACCCAAGTACGACATATACCTAGAATAATGTGTGGCCAAAGGAACCTTACCATAGTGAGCGCAGGGTTCATGAGCGGTATGTTTGTTGGGGCTTGGGGTGGTAGACCTGTGACGTTTCCCAGTGCTGCGGCCAAAGGTTCGTAGGCTCCGCCGGTGAAGTAACCTGCAGAAGTGGAGGGATCCGGAGTCGGAGTGCCCACAGAAGCAGCAGCCTCTAATGCCGCTTGATCCGTGTTAAGGCAAGGAAGACGAGCAACGGGGCCGGCAGAAACCAGCGCATCTCCAGAACCAGCACCAGCCACAGCAGTCATCCTAGCAGAGGCAGACGGAAGGTTGAGCAGATCTGGAAGTGGGTAGCCTGATGTGAACCGCGTTGTGCCACGAGCCGCAGCGGCTGCAGCCACACCGCTGTTCACGGCCTCACAAAGACCCAAGTACTCTTCATAGGCAAGACACAGACTGAAAGAAAAAACATAATGCAGGGTAAAATACAGGGTTCAGAGGAAAAACTAGTGACGAGAAAAAGAAACAGGGAACAAAGGATTTTCAAAGCAAGAAAGTGAAAACAGCGGTTTAGTCAGAATTCTTCTAGTTTGGTATCACAATAGGGGCAATAGGTGGGATCATCAAGTGAAGTTGAAAGATGCGGAGGAGTTAGCTTGAACGGAAACGATCGTTTCCAATGAAGCGCTTCCGCTTACAAAACAGAATATGCAACACAACTTTGACACGCATAGCGTCGTTGCTTTCCTCCGTTCGAACTTGATGAGGCCACGGTGGGTAATCAAACCGAATGCTCAAGTATTATTTTACTGATAGTAAGGGGTTCAGTCACTTTTCAAGCCCCTCATACCCAGTTCCCGAACTAATTGTGGAGGCTGGAGTCAATGCGCCTAGGGTACACGGTTTATACCTACTGAATTGAATGAATTGAATTGCTTCTTGTGTTAATTAACAAACGCCTAGCCCAACTCTATTGTCATCATCATCATCAGCTGTCGGCTGTGCACATTTTGTAGGTCATAGCTGCAACAGTTTCGTTCGCCAATGCTCACGGAAAATTGAAGCTGATGGCTACGCAGCGGTAATTAATATCGCTGACACATGAATGAAAGAGTTAGCGGTGAACTTTCACTAGAGACACCTAGAGAGGGAGCTGAGCGTTGAACGCGACAGCTTGGATTCACGTAAGCCAATGTCTTCAACCATTGATATGCCTCATCTCGGAGACATGAACGCAGTTGAGTTTGCTGGTAGTGGGTTTGACTGCTCCCTGCCCAGCCGTTTCTTGACCTCATTTGGCTCGCCTCCTCCGGAAAGCCCGTTTGGCGCAAGCACGCTTTTGTTTGACCTTACTGGCATAAGTGCGCCTTGTGGAGAAAAGTTCCAGCCAGTGTAACCCGCGGCATCACTGCTGCACACAAGTACGACCACTGTGTCAAGGTCGATGACTTTCTGCGAATGGACGACCGTTGTTGCCTAGGCCTGCAGGATTACTTAACTCACCACCTTACTACTCTGGTGACCCGAAAGTGACAGGACGAGTTCAAAATCGAGTCGATCGTCCAACGAACGTTGAAGTGAGTAGAAAGTCGTTTCAAAGGTGTAATCCGATAGAGCCTTTGTACCTCTTCATACGAACATTTAGAGAAGACACGTTGGTGATCTAGCTAATTTCTATGCAACCAAACGAAAATAGTCACAAAATTTACTACCAATACTAAAGCATACTATACTAGTGACCACAAGATGCAGTCGAAACTCAGCGATGACTCCAAAACGATTTCAAATTGGCTCTAATTCATACCCTCTAACCAGCAATCGTGAAACTAGCTCTCAGTGGGCGCTCAGTATTCGCACAATGGAATCGAATTTTCGGAAGCTACGACGTGTCCCCGATGGAGTAAAACAGACAGGCAACTGAGTTCACGATACCAGTAAAATTTTGAGACGCATCTAGACATCATGGTGTCTCAGTGATGCTAGGAAATCATTCCACTGGAATTTTTTCCGCCAGAGGTATGATTACTTCGGTAGACAAAGGAATTTGGTGAGCTGCGAAAATATGAACGTACATTAGGATGGTTTTATATTTGAGCACATACAAAACAAAATGCAACATTCTGGCGTACTTGCAGTGCAGCTGCCACAGTTTCGTTCATCGATGATTTTGGGTTGTAGGGTAGATAGCTACCCAGTGGATGCCGTAATACAGGTGTGTCAGTGGACTTATCATTGGGAAGGAAAAGATGGGAGATATGCATTGAAGATAATAGCTTGGATACATAGGCGCCAATGAGGGTGCGACTGGGGCAATTTTGACGACGCCCCTAACCACTGGTGTATCACGTTTTAGAGAGAGATGGCAACCACCAGCGCGACTGGGTTTGCTGGTAGTGACTTTCGTCCTTCACTGCCAAGTTAGTGTTTGACCTCCCCTGGCTCGACTTTCCGCGTGGTTTTGCGAAAAGTCCGCTTCGAGGAAGCTAGTCGACCGAAGTACATGACCAGATAAGCGCAACCTACTGAACGTGATCAGCTCACTTGCCGTGGACGAGTTGATAATCCCGAAAACCATTCGACGTACTTCCAATGTTCCTACCAGACTCGTGTAATGCTCCGAAAACATTGATGGTCAAACACGGAAAATATTTTCACGTCTTCAACAAGCATCGGCCAGGTTTTCGACCCACTACAGCACTTAACAGTCGACTCTTGACAGATAAGCTGAGGTCACGCCTACGCCACGGCCGATACAGATTCACAAAAGCTGTTTCGGCCTTCCCCATCCGGATGGAAATATCATTTTTTGCTAGACCACCAGGACTGCCTGGGTAGACAATTTCGTCTACTGTCCCCATCGGCTCATCATAAAGCGTGGCATAACGAATCAAGCTCATCCAGCCTTGTAGCAGTACTTCAAACTTTGCATCTCTTAATGTAACGTGGTATACGCGACCGTTGAAACCCAGTGATATGCCATTTTGACGCCATAATTGACACAAATCAGCAAACGTGATTCTGGCTTATCAGATTCGTGCACTGGTTTCCCCAAACACACTTCTGTCAAAGCTGATACAATTAACGAAGTATGCAAAATTCTCCACAACCTCCAGTGCTTCTACTTGAACTGTAAGCGACATGCTCAGACACTGCACTTTCTGAAGCATAACTTTACACTCTGAAGGTACAAGGCGCATGCCGACAAATGGCATGATGGTGGTCAGTTTATTCAGTCTACAGACCGCCGAGCCGCCGTCACAGGCTTTGCTCACAACAGCAATATACAAAAGCATAGGCTTGCGAGACATTTTATTAGCCATCCTTCCACAGGGGAGGCACTTCGAAATCCTCAGAAAATGTTCCCAACACCGATAGAGTACTGTTCAACTTTTACTTACAGTCTATGTTGGTCCGGGGGCTGCACGTCACCAGGAGCGATGGCCTGTCTCAGATTGCAAGAAATCTACACAACGATAAGGACGCTCCTGCAAATAGGGTGGAGCGAACCCACTTATCAAGTGACTCATTTCGACTAAAGAAATGGCAGTTGTGTTTGAAGATCGAGGTGGTCAATCTCACCAGCGAACCAACGTCGGAGGAAACGCCTGAGTATTTCCGTCCACTGATGTGACGAAGATGATGATGATGAAGAGGAGGGGAACACCACTTACCGGGACACATCGGTGTCGAACTCTTCCAGAAACTGTAACTTGCGTTGACAGAACGCTAGTTTGACGGCAGCTGGTAGCATTGAGTCGATGGTGGCTGAATTGGTGACTTCAACAAACGCTTCAATATCAGGCGGGCGACGCTGATAGATAATATCCAGTAGATGCGCGTACAATCGTTCATTACGCTGCAGGGTTTTGGGGGGAAAATAGAGTAGGCAATTAAGATGTACGTTTCAAGAAACCTCCAAGTGCATAGATTCGAAATTTGAATGAAATCCGAGGTGGTCGGAATCGATCCTCCTCAGAAAGTGTAAATAATGAATGGATAATATGCGAAGAGAAGTTATCGAGCAAAGTTCGAAGGCACTTGGCAAATTCTGCCCTGCACTCTCTAGCCAAAAGCACGTGAGACAGCTTCCTGGTACTGTACACTCGTTGACTATTTGAGTCATGATAGGACACTCACGTATGACGACAATGACAGGAACACATCGTCTGTAAAGTAGAATTAGGATTTCCTTTTGCCAGACTTGAGTTCGACCACGCGGTTCGAACCCAAACATAGATTTTTGACCGCTCCTGTATGGATTAGAGCAACCTGACAGTGATTCAATCCTCAGGCCTCCCTAGGGCTACTTGGTAGTAATACACCGGTTGAACGATTACTACTTTATTTATCGAGCTGAAAATGCGCTACAGAGGTCAATGGAGGTTTGACGGAAGGGGATGAGACGAGCCTAAAACTAAAGTTGATAACCAAATATCAGGCCCACGAGAGTGTTAACAGTAAATATTCAACATACTACTTCCAACTGCCATACCTGGCCCAACAATCTACTCAACTAATACAAGTATTACGGTGTTGGCTTGGTTCCAACCATAAAACTCTAGTTATCATGACTAAAGACCAAAACTACATCCCTGTCTTACCCCGGATATTAACCCAAGAGACGGATCTTATTTTCGAACTCACGGGATCATATTCTATCGCTTCCTTTAAAATCCGAATGGCTGCCTCCTCGGGCTTGAGCACTGATTTTTCTTCCTCTGTGAGCGTCTCCAGAGGAGGTGCATGCAGATGAATAAGCCGGTGACGTTTGTCCAATAAGCTACGTATACGCTCCTCTTCTGCGGCCGCCAACTCCTTTTCCTTTTTGATTCGTTCTTCTTCTGCAGCCCTCGCGGCAGCTGCCTCATCTTCCTCTTCTTTCTCCTCCTCAGACTTGACACTCTTCTTTGCCCGTTTATTTTTCTTGCTCTGACGCCCTTCTGAGTCGGTCGTTGCATCTGCCTTGCGCTTCCCGTTGGTTGCATCAGGACGAGTAACCGGAAGAACCGGGGGAGACGCAGAGCCATCCTCCTCAGGTTGTTCTGTATCCGGGGATGCCTTTCGATCCTCGCCAACTGGTTCTACCTCTCCATCATCATCCATAGATTCCGCAGAGCTAGACTCACCACATTCATCCTCATCGTCTTGACCTTCATCCATAGCCTCGTCCTCGGAGTTACCAGATGCAGAACCCTCTTTATCTGCCTTCATGCTGCTGTCCATAGATTCGTCCGACCCTGGTTGTTTGGCTTCTTCATTTTCCGCCTCCTCTGGCTTGATTTGTTCTTCCTCGACTTCAGGAACTGGAAATATATCCTCCTGTTTATCGTCCTCCCCTTCATCGTGTACGGTGTGCAACAACAGCATCCACAGCGGAACACCATCCGTCGGAATGACTGATTCATCCCGATGCAACAAACGCGCAATGCGTCCGGCTAGAACACCAGCCCCAGCACGAGCTTGCGCCGCGGTTGCCAGGGCTTGAGCGACTGTGCGTGATGCCGTAGGACCAGATAAGGATTTGGCTAACTTAGTTTGTTCTTCTGCCAGAAAACGAAGTCGGTTGATACCACTTCGGAGACAGGCAATAATATCGAAAAGCTGCATGAAATGGACAGTAGAAAGTAGTTCAATGACCATTTCCAAATATCCACACAATAAAATAATGAAATAGCGGGGGAAGGAAAACTCGACAAAAAATTTTGTTAGCTAGGTGGCTGAATACAAACATTGTTGGGCCATCTAGAAGAAAAACTAGAAGCTGTGGCCAGATAGGACGACGATGAACAACTGAGCGATGAGGTTGTGCGGTTTAACACCACATAGAGCACCACCACTGGTCTTTATCCGCCGATTAATCATGTCAATTCCTTCACATAAATCTTATAATCGAAAAAACGGCATAAGATGGGTGAAAAGGATGGAGTGTTAGCCATGTTGCGTACAACCTCATTCCCAATGGAGACTGACAGCGCAAACACAACTGACTTGGTTGCCTGTCGTGTCTTGTAGCATTACCAGCCAAACGCATGGAGGCTTTCTGGGAATCCAGCTTCCCAAGTGTTTTATTGCGCGCGGGTCTGTTTGTTGGCACTAAAACGGGCAATCCGGTGACATTTTGGTTACAAACACTATGGTCTCCTAAAAAGATCGCTTAGATGTGGCATCCTTTCGGCACCTAGCTGCCATATCACCAGAAGGAAGCCCGTGGGCTGGGATAGTACAAGTCTGTCCAAGCCCAGACAGGGGAGGTTGAGAGGCAGATGCCGGATTCGAACCATGAACCTTCCGGTCAGTGAATTCGCGCTCTAACCACCGGGCAATCTTCTAGGTTCTCCAGGCAGGTAAGGTATGTGAGGATTAACTGGAGCTTATGGATGAAACCATTACATATTTCGAGTATAGATAGACGTGGAATGTCAGAGGTGGATCGATCAGACGAAAATTGCTATCGCGATAAAGAACTTCCCGAGTAAACTCTGAACGAGCACCAAGTCAGACAGTCAGGAAACATCAATAAAACCCAGGTACCCTAAACGGTGACATTAATGGTATGATGAAAAAAATCACTTTAAAAAACCTGAACATGGAGAGCGGCCAGGTGTTCGTCTAATGCAACGGCAGTCACTTCATAGTAATGGTCCGTCATGAAGAGACTGTGACATTAATGTATGATGAAAAAAATCACTTTAAAAAACCTGAACATGGAGAGCGGCCAGGTGTTCGTCTAATGCAACGGCAGTCACTTCCTTATGATGGTCCGTCATGAAGAGACTTGACCTTACCGTGGTGTGACGGTTTGCGCACCTCAGCGATCCACTGAGCTATACTGGAGAGTGCCCCGCGACACTCACAGAGTCTCTCACACACCAGGTTGTTCAGTGGTTAGAGGTCTGTCGAACATAGTCTCCTGGCCCTCCAGGTTGGGGGTTGGAACATGTGGCGACTTGTTCCGTAGAAATGGTAATGCATTTGCATTTCCCGCCAAACACCG